GGGCCAATCCCCAACTAAGTCATCCCAGCCAGGGCTTTGTTAAGCCTGACCTTAAAAACCACTAAGGATGGAGATTCCACCACCTCCCTAGGGAACCCATTCCAGGGCTTCACCAGCCTCCTAGTGAAATAGTGTTTCCTAATATCCAACCGAGACCTTCCCCCACTGCAACTTGAGTCCATTACTCCTTGCAGGGCAGAGCTTCCCCAGCTGAGGGAGTGGCCTTAGGGCCTTCTGGCAGGCGCTGGTTAGGAATGGGTGGCTGGAGAGCAGGGCTGTGTGGGGATGTGCTTTGGGCTGGATTCACCGGTTCTCTGCTCTCGGTGTGGGCATTTCCCCCAGGCGATGCCAGCTTTGTGAGCTGCTGGCATTTCACACCGGCTTCCCTCGGGGGTGAATAGCCGCACACGAGGCTGGAGAATTGGGGCCAGCTTTGAAAGGTATTTAGGTGCCTAAAGAGGCGGAGTGGCACCTAGTGGGATTGACAGACTGGCGTTTTAGGCACCTAAATACCTTTGCAAATCGGGCCTTTGGAGGGTGCTGTTGCAGTGACTGTGGAATATGAATTCGTGGGGGGCCCTTTCCAGGTAGGGCCCAGAGTCCATTCTATGCCCAGCTGAGTCGGGGCATTTCTACCACAAGGGTTTTTCTCTGTGTGATTACTGCGAATACCAAGGCCAGTACCAAGTCCCCTGCCCGCGAAGGGCGCTAGAATGGGGAGATCCTGCAGAAAACTTGCTTTTCTGAATTCGCAGTCAAACAGCAGGAGAAGCTGGAGCCCCAGCGAGAGAGCCCCCCCCGGCCCCTGCTAAAATGAGCGATTTCTCCCCTACATTTGAGCCAATAAAGATGAATGGGCGGGAAGGCCGTCTGGTCCTTTGAAACCTCTGCCTGGTTCAGTTAGCGGTTGACAGCCTCCCCGGGACAGACATTCACATGGTCTCAGAAAACGCCTCCCAAATGCTGCCTTGTTGCTGTGTATTCCCCACATCCCTCCTCCCAGGTTTGGGGGGAGGGATAGCTCAATGGTTTGAGCATTGGCCTGCTAAACCCAGGGTTGTGAGTTCAATCCTTGAGGGGGCAATCTGGGGCAAAAATCTGTCTGGGGATTGATCCTGCTTTGAGCAGGGGGTTAGACTAGATGACCTCCTGAGGTCCCTTCCAACCCTGAGATTCTGTGCAAAAGGTTTTAAACTCAGAGCTCTCACCACCCATTGTCTCATGCTGATCTCTGACTCCTGGGGAGTTCATGCTACCCACATCCCACTCCTGGGGTCACACTGAGAACCCCCCACATCCCACTCCTGGGGGGCAGGGTGTTGCACTGAGAATTCCTCCCCCCAGGGCATGCTGACCCAGTGCCAGGCATGGGCTGCCACAGAGCCTGAGGAGCAGGTACCACACCTAGAAAACACATCGCAAAACAGTTCCCATGATTAATGACGTGTGCAGCTGCGTGTGCTGAGCTCCTAGGAGCAGAGAACGTGTCTCATGCCCCTCCCAGCTAGGGGTCAGTAGGGAGCTTCCAGGCTCGCCCAGGCCTCTGGCATCCTGTTTATAGGTTTGCTTTCCACTGAGTATCAGACACTGGCTACTGCCAGAGCAGGGGCCCAGATTCTCCATGGCTGTTAGCTGGGTGGAGCTATTTACACCAGCTCAGAATTTGGCCCCGAATCAACCAATGTGTGTCTTGTTGGTTTTAACCCCACACCCATCACTGGACCGTGTCTGGCCTTCTCCCAAAGCCCTAGACGATAGCAGCCCAGCGGAACTGTTCTTCAGATCCTAGCCGTTTGACCCCTAGATCTGCACCCCTCTCCATCCCGTTCCCCCCTGCACAGCCAGAGGTCTCCACATGGCTCCACCTTTCCCAACAGCGAGGGACAGATACTGAATTCAATGGGCTTTGGATCGGACCCCAGCTGAGATCAGGGCCTCACTGTGCTAGGGGCTGTATAGACACCTGTGACTTAATCACAATACTTGGTGTTTTTCTTAAAGCCCCAGCTCCTAGAGGCACGTGACTGGGGGAGAATCTAGCTTTTCTATACCTAAAGTAAGTTTCTAGCCCTCAGATTGCAGAAATTGCTTGAAAGTGTGATCGGGGTGCAACCTAAAGGCTGAGAAAGCAGAAGGCAAAGAACCCCAGAGGTATTATATTTTAAAGTCTCATGGTTGTAGGAAGGGCTGACTCATGATTTTTTGAACGTTTGGGGTGGGCGGTGCTGAGGGACAATCTAAATAGATAAGACCGATAACGGGGGCGAGAACAGAAGCATCCGTATCTCCATTTTACCGATCGGCAGGGGCTTGTCCAGGGTCAAACAGCAGAGCCTGAAATTGAATCTCGAGTCCTTGGCGGGCGCCTTAGCCATAGATCCAGCAGTCCTGTCTTTGCCTTTGTCCCTCATTTTCGGGTTATAAAAGGCCAGCAAAGGGCACAGATGGGACGTGAGTGCTGCAAGAGGATCTGTGGGCTAGGGGCGCACTACGGGCCCTTGCTGGGCGAGGGTGCCAAGACCCCGTGTCGGACTCTGGCACATCAGTTAAAGTATGCTTCGAGCTAGTGATGTTTCTCCAGCTCCTAGATCTGAGCCTCACGTTATCCTCCCACTGAGCTAACCTCCCCGACGCTCCCTTGCTGAGTCCCACAAGAGCTGCAGGCCACATAGGGCAGGTGAGGAGCAGGACCCCAGCCCCACAGTGGGCTATTAGGTTAACATGGGGGTGTCGTTACGCCCCCTCCTTTCTCCAGCTGGACACTGCAGCTCGAGAGGGGTAACCCTGGAAAGATTAAGTCAAGCAACCTAGAATTCTGGGGCTTAGCAGAGCTTATCTGAAAGGCAGTGTGCAAACCCATGGAGCCAGTGGTGGTTTACACGTCCCACACCGGGGTCCTGGCCGAACAGTTCAGAGGGATCTGGGCCCATCTGGAAACTTCCCAGGAACAGCTGTCCCCATGGGATCAGTCCCACTGCTCTGCTGCCAGCTCAGATTAACCTGCACACAAGGAGGAGGGACAGCTCAGTGGTTTGAATATTGGCCTGCTAGACCCAGGGTTGTGAGTTCAATCCTCGAGAGGGCCACTTAGGAATCTGGGGAAAAATCAGTACTTGGCCTTGCTAGTGAAGGCAGGGGACTGGACTCAAGGACCTTTCAAGGTCCCTTCTAGTTCTATGAGATAGGAATGGGCATGTTTTTGCCTATGGGAATTGAATGTAGGTTCAGACTGAAGGTATTGTTTACACCACAACCAGAGGCGTGACTGCAGCATGTGTAGACATGCTACACACCTGGATCTAGCTAGCCTGAAGAATATAAACAGTGAAGCTGCAGCATCGTGGATTGTACAGCTCCACCCAGAGCCCTGTGTCCGTACTCCCCCTGGCGTAGCCCATGCTGCTAGATCAAAGCTAGCTCGGGTACGTGCAGAATCACCTCTGGGTGCTGCAGAATCACCTCTGATCACAGTGCAGACTTACCCCTCGCTTCAGTTTGGGGCCCAAATTCAGGCCAGTTCTTATTTCCTCTGCCCTGGGGTGGGGTCCCAGCTGAGGGCCTGCTCTCACTGAAACTCCCAGCGACTCTAGTGGCGCAGTCTTGGGAACTTAGCT